CCTTTTGCTGCTGCCAAAAGCACAGGGACACCCCAGGCCTGAGTCACCCCCGGACACTCTTGGGGCATGTCCTGAGCTGGAAGGGCTGAGGCCCCTTCTGTTCCCAACAGCGAGGCCGAGAAGTGGGGAGAGGAGGAGCCCGTCTGCCACTGGCGGCTCTGCTCATTTTGGCCTGTTTCCTTTTGCCTTGTTGTCCCCCTCCCTGACATCCCCCATCCTCTGCCTCCCATCCCCCACCCCTCACCCCCGAAGTCTTTCTGCCAAATCCAGGACTGATTTTTGTGCGAAGGTTCTCTCAGTTTAGCTCTCCCGAAGAGCATCTCGAAGGAGGCGAGCGCTCCATACTTGTGCAGTCCACAGGTTGGCCACCGGCCACACATGGCTGGTGAGCACTTGGGATGTGGCTGAACTGAGAACTCCGTTGAATTTATTTTCATAAAATGAAAAGCTGGTGATGAACTCCATTATTCGGAAAACAACTTTTAAGTGTGTTTGGAGCAACTCGAGTATTCAAATCTGCTTTTTCAACTTGACGTTTTTGAAATCTAAATACAGATCAAATATTTACAAAGAAAATGTAGCATCTTAATTGAGGTGTGCTGTCAGTGTAAGATACACTCCAGATTCAAAAGCCTTTCTACAGAAAAAATAAAATACCTCATATCAAAATACTGATTCTATGTTGATAGTATTTTCGATCTCTCGGATTAAGTAAGACAAAATTAATGTCACTGGTTTCTTTCACCTTTTCTTTTCAGTGTGACTACTAGAACGTGTCTTGCATTATACTTTATTACATTTCTCTTGGCTCGTGTGCTCTAGACTGTCCATTTGGCTAGATTTAGATGAGCTAAAGTCACACTGAGGGAGGGACATGCATTCCCTCTGCCAACCTGTGGCTCTCACCACCATGTGGCCCTCCTCATCCAAGCATGAATGTGGGGTCAGGGAATGTGGAGGAAGGCTGGGGAGAGAGATGAAAGGGGCTCACTGCCTGCTCCAGGAAGCGCTCCAGCCAGGGGGATGGGAGCAGGTCCAGGGAGTGAGCGCTTCATGGCCACTCTGGCTCTCCTGTCTTCATGCCTGCCTGCGGCCATGACACCTTGTGTTCCAGCAGAAGAGACCATCAGAGCTTAGAGGGTTTCAATGCTTCTATTCCAGCTGCTATATTTTGCTCACCGACTGGAGCAAAATTGCCCGTGAACAATAGAGATCTGTCTCTGTCCCAGGGTGATTCGAATGAACATCGGGATGCTTTTCTAAATAACTCAAACAAACAGTGATGGTGCCAATGTGTAACCTTGACAGGACCAGCAAACCAGAATGCGAAATCTGGGTTTTTAAGCAAAAGATTGTATGGAAGGCGACAGCATGTTTTGCAAAAAGGTTGCAAAATAAGATAACAGGCAGTCAAGAGAAGCTGTCCTGTCCACCTACTAGGTCCGACACTCTCAGGACTGAAGCAACATCGGGGCCGTTCCCTAGATCCATGTCCCTTTTCTGTTTGTTCAAATCTGACTTATTCTTCAAGGCCCAGCTCAGCCCTCACCCCCTTCCTGAGCCTTTCTCCAATTCCTCTAGACTTCCCAGCTCCGCTCTGTGACCGCGGCCGCCCACACCACCCACCTCCATCCTCAGTAAGGTGATTCTGTCTATCAGTGGTTTTTCCTTTGGAGTCAGGTTCTGAGACCTGGAGGCAAATGACATTATCACTTGTTGTGACAGCTACCATAATGGGTCTACAAAAGGACTTGCAAATAGTCATGCTTTAGCCCCACCTCCAGGAAAATCCTCCTGACGTGAAAAAGAGTTTATTTATAATTTCTTGTATTTACAGTGTGTCTTCATTGTCATGATTCTTACAGTAAATATACAAGTGTTTAACAGACCATTAGCACAGTGGCCTGCGGTCCCAGGCACAGGTACTAAGGGGTGCTGCAGACCCGGTGCTTCCCCAGGCCCAGTCAGGAGGCCTTCAGAGAGGTTCGGAGAGAGGTATTTAGGGTCTGAAACTGAAACGGGATTAATAGGGTCAATGCAGCGCATCCTAGAAATAGATACAGGTTTTCTGCTGTTTCTACCGGATGATACGAACAAAACAGAACAGAGACTTGGGATCCCCCATTAGTCAGAGGCCAAAGAAAGACTAGAGAAGCTACGGCTTCCCACGGCCCTGCCCTGGCCAGCTGTCACCACCTGCCATGTGCTTAGCACAGCGCTCCACATGCCCAGGCCCCTGCCACACTGCAGACCCGCACACACCACAGCACTGCCCTCCTTCAGAGGCAGCTGGTGTCCATGGAAGGACTGAGGATATGAAGAGAGGTTTCCTAATTCCAAAGCTGGGTCCTCAGAATCCCATACGCATTGGCAAAGACGCTGACAGTGTTGTTCTGGAGCATTCTCTCTGCCTCCCTAGCTCTCCCTCGGGGCCTGAGCCTGGGCTGGGCAGAGCAGGAAGAGGGGAGGACAAATGTCACTGTTTTGCACCTCCCTAAAAGCCTCCCTTTATATGAACTACTCTTTTTTTTTTTTTTTTTTTTTTTTTGTTGGGG